TTGTAGGGATCTAAGATTTTTACCAATTGAAAAAAAAAATCAACCTTAATTTTAGGGAATCAACCGTATCTAATAAAATTTAAATGAAATTAAAATATTTATTTTAAATCTAATTTTAAATTGTTAATTAGAATCTGAAAGTAGATTTTAAAAGAAATTGATAAAACTGTGTTAGGTGTAGATTTTAAAATTTACCCATGTCTAATATAAGATTTAAAAATAAGAGAGTAAATATAAAATTGATAAAACTGTGTTGGTATAGATTTTAAAATTTACCTCAATTTAATATAAGATTTAGAAATAAGAGAGTAAATATAAGTAATACATTTATTGATTTTTTTTAAGAAATTAGGGTTTAATAATAAAAAAAAAGCTTTTAACCTTCCTTCTTGCTTTTGACAACTTCAGTTGCCGCCTCCTCTAGCTTGCAGAAGAAGACGCTGCCACTGCTTCAGCCGCCGGCGGCATCCGTCACTACTTTAGCCGCTGCTGCTGCTCCCATCCACGCAAAACACACCGCAGCATCCTTCTTGGCTCTCACACCGCCGCACCATCCACGCCGATGCATGAACCGCCACCCCATCCATCAGTCGCCTAACGATTGCTCAGGCGAGTTCGTTTCCCATCGGTCAGAGCTTCGCCAGACGCTGCTGTCGAGTCATCGGTGGTTCACCCAACTCGCAACAGCCGCCCAACTCGCCCAATTGGACGCTCACGCCGCCGCCCCATCCACGTCGACGCACGAATCGCTGTCCCATCCATTAGTCGTCGAACCGCTGCTCAGGCGCTCTTGTCCCCATCCGCCGGAGCTTCGTCAGCCGCCACTCGAAACCACAGTACAGACTAATACCGCTGCCACGTCGTCCATATCGTCGCTGCACCATCAATACCTCCATGTCGTTTGAACAAGATTCGTTCGTCAATACCCCGACTGTTTGAGGAAGGTCTTTGTTCTGATTTTGCAACTTAATTTAAAAGAAATTTTTTGTTTTCCTAAATTTCAGGTGTATTTTTAAAAATATATAAATGTGGGACCTACCACATGAGCGTGTTGTTAATAACCAAGGAGTATATGTGTTTAACTCCAACAAACTTACTATATTTAAGTAAATTAAAATCTAAATAATATCTATAAATATGGTTAGAGTTAGAGGAGGAATAACTCGACGATCGAGTGAACGATTGAAGATTGTTGGAATAACAGGGGGTCGAAGAGAAACGTGTACAATCAGCTTAGAAAGTGAAGAAGAGGTATATATAAATCTGTTTACATATGGGTTGTTTGTTTTGTTAAAAATCCTCAAGTTTAATCTGTTTTGTTTTATTTTTATATATACAGATTGAATC